ATTTGATGAAGGTGAAGTCCCTTTGTATCATGTTCCCGGAGTACCTGATATATTTACACATGTAGGTCGTCCAAGCGGGGAAATGCAAGAGATATGGCTTTCCGAGAAAGATTATAGCTGTGCACATTCATATGTATTGCGAAATTGTGATTATTTTCAGCCACTTGAGAGGTATAAATTGGTTTACCATATTTTGTTTCAGTATATCGCACTATGATTCGTCATACTAATTTGTGGATGTGATCATAGGATGTTTGAAGATTATCTAACTGCAAAATATGTTGACCTTTCCGAGAAAGAACTCTCTGCAAAAAGAGCTGACGAATATCATATATGGGTGAAAGATTACGTACGTCTGATTAATAATATTATGCACCTAATCGTGTCTATAGTTATATATATATATATTGATATTTTATATATATGCAGATTAGATACTGGAGCAACACACATGAGTTTGATGCGTGGGTCAAAGATATTGCGAATGGACCTGTGAATAAGGCCAAAACCTGGCCCATTTACTTCACTAGAGGTTTCTTATTTCATACGCAAAAACATGGTGAGGGACGAAAGACTTGTAACTATGGCGTATGTGTTAAAGGAGAGAGTTACACAAATGCATCAGACGAAGCTGATTACTACGGGGTCTTAACTGATATCATTCAAATTGAGTATGAGGGAGCGGTGAATTTGAAAGTCACACTTTTCAAGTGTAAGTGGTATGATCCTGTGATTGGTAGAGGCACTCGGCTAAGCAACGGTGGCATCGTGGACGTTCTTTCATCCAGGAAATACTATAAATACGAACCTTTTATTCTAGGTACGTATTATTTTACATATTAATTAATATCATAAATAAATATGTATTATTAACTTTTTATTATGTGATAACAGCATCTCAAGCACATCAAGTTTGTTATATACCGTATCCGTATATAAAGAAACCAAAGCACTCGTGGTACAATGTTTTAAAAGTGAATCCGAGGGGGATTATTTCAGGAGAATATGAAGACAAAGAACCGACAGTGTTGCAACAAGACAATGATGATGCTGTGTTGATGACTACAATTGAAGATCTACAAGTCGACCATCTACATGCTCAAGGAGAACCGATTAATCTTGATATTGATGTCGAAGATGCAGAACCGGAGGATGAATTTCAATGTAATCTATCTTCGTCTTCTTCAGATGGTGAAAGTGAAGATGGAGAAACACCATACTAATTAATAATGTGTTTTTTGCTTTAATAATGTGTTTTAGCATAACTTATTAAGTCACATCCCTAAACTTATTTAGTCACTTTTTTATAATGTGTTGTTTGCTTCTTAATAATATATTTTTAAGTTGTTATATACTTTGATCAAAAAATAAATTGTTAGACCCTAAAATTACTTGCAGCTAAATTATTATTGATTAATTTGATTAATTCAGTTGATAAAATGCAAAAAAAGAAGATTAGTAGCCTAACAAATAGAAAAAAAAAAAAAATTTGATAGACTTTTGCCTCCTAATTTTCTAAGTCCCCAAAATTCCTATGTCCCCAAAATTTTCTAAGTCCCCGCCTAACCAATTTCCTAAGTCCCGCCAAGCCCAATTTTAGTCCCAAAGCCCAAAACCAAAACAAAACCATTAGCCTAATTAACTAAAAAAACTCTACGACACCACACCTCTCACTCTCTATCGTTACAAAGAAAAAACCCTAATTGCCGAATCCTCTCTTGAATCTCACTCTGTCATTCAACACAAAGAACCCTAATTTCCCAATTCCAGAATCTCACTCGAAAATACCTCACTCTAATCTCTCATCTCTATCCCGATGGCATCAAAAAAGAAACAGAAAAATACACATAAATCTCCCCTTCCCTCTCAGTACCAGTTTGTTCCTAGGACGACAGCTCCTCCTGTCCCCAACCGCCGATCTCCACCAGGCGTGAGTGACTACCCACCTCCGAGGCGTCTCTTCCAAGGCTCAGAGGCCCATTCTCAAGCTCATTCACCGCCTCTTCATCAACCATCTCCACCGCTACAACCTCGACGGTCTGAAACGTCATCAACACAAAATTCTCCGAGCAGTTCTCACACTCAAGACTTTGCGGGTACAGAACGTCCAGAAGCTGTAGAACCAACTCACGCTGATGAGCAGTCCCGTGTAATCAACGAACTGCTATCCCATCCAAACCGGGGCCGCGACATACTAATCCTTTCTCCAACCTTTGAGCCTGGAACAATATGGTAACTAACTTTGTTTATGTGTTTTGAGTATTACATATTTTTTTAATAAATTGACTTGTGAATTTGTGAATGTTTTGAGTGATTATTGATGTTATTTACTTGAGGTTTTGTTACTGAAAGATTAATTATTGAGTCATGTTTGTTCCGTTTTGCTTAGTTTGTTTAGTCATGAGTTTTGTTTTTTCTTATATTGAGGTTTTTTAATGGTTGATTTAGTCACTGGTTTATTATTTGTTTTACATTCTAATATATTCTAACAAACCCACCAGCAATTAATTATTGAGTCATGTTGCTAAGTTTAGTTTAGTTTGTTTAATCATGTTTAAAAAAAAATTATATTGACTTGTGAATGAGTTTTGCTTTTTATATTGAGGCTTAAATTGGTTAGTCTTAAGATGGTGTAAGATGAGGCTTGCTTGTTTGCCACTGGTTTTGGTTGGCTTAGTCACTGGTTTAGAATTAACTTTGCCTTGCTCTGGTTTTTGTTGGCTTAGTCACTGGTTTATTACTTTTGTTTCATTCTAATATATTCATTATTTTGTTTCTGTGTTTGAGGTTTGGTCGTGACAAAGGCAAACTGACCCGGAGAATCACAAAGATTTTTACAAAAAAGTTTGATGACCCTTATTACAGTTGGAGTCTTGTGCCTCAGACCAAAAGAGAGACATTATTTGTAGAATTTGCAGTTAAGTCTAATCCTCTAATATTTAATCTCAACTTTTGTTTAATTTGATTTTTAATATCATCTTTCTCTGTTTTTTTTTGTGTAGAAAACTCATACTTGGGATCAAATACACAGTGGTATTGTTCAGGAGAAATTCGAGAATGTATGTAAGCGGCGTTGGAAAGACATGATTAGCACTTGTAGGACTTCTCGAGAGCGACCAACCTGGATCCACGATACTCTTTGGGAAGAAATGACAGCATACTGGGACACTCCTCCAGCAGAAAAAAAGAGTAAGACAGCATCTAAGTCTCGCTTATCTGATCGAAAGGGACTTGGTCCACACAAGCACAACACTGGCCCGAAGTCTTTCCAGCAAATTGAAGATGAAATGGTAAGTTTTTTTTTTTTTGCTCCATTTATTTAAACTTTAATTTGTGTCATTTAACCTTTACTTTTTTTTTTTTTACCATTATAGGTTGAGGAATTGGGCAGACCAGTTACTCTTGGTGAAGTTTTTATCAGGACACATACAAAAAAAGATGGGACCTTTGTCGATTTGAAAGCCCAGCAGGTTGCAGAGATGTATGAGAAGAACAAAGATTCCAAGTTGACAGCCCTTGCGGCTGAAAACTCAGAGATTTCAGATGGTTCTAATGTTCCACAACTCTCTATAGAGGAGGATAATGAGATATTCCTTTTGGTAAGTTGCTTTCTTTTAATTTTTAATTTGTTATTCATACTTATACTCTTTTCTTATGCTTTGTAGTAACACTTTGATATGTTATTGTAGTCTACTTTCACTAATGAAAGAGGAGAACACTATGGCATTGGAAGCCTCCAGCAAACCCTCATCAATGGGAAACGGAAGTTCAGTGAATTTTCTTCCTCTGCATACTTTGACCTGAAGAAGCAGCTTGAAGAAGCTCACCGCAAAATAGAAGAGCAGGCTGCAACTAATGCAGCACATGCTGCCTCTAATGCAGCACAGGCTGCTACTATTGCAGAGCAGGGAGCAACTATTGCAGAGCAGGGAGCTACTATTGCAGAGCAATCAAAGCAGATCAGTGAGCTCTCTTTAACTGGGAAGTTTCTTGCTGCAACTGATCCAAGATATAATGAGTTCATCTCTGCTCATTCCACCACCTAATCATGCTTTGTTGTTTGTTTCTTTAGTCTAAGAAACTTTATTTCTCTATGAAACTTATGACTTTTGTTTAGTTGTTTCTTTGGATGCTTTTGGCGTTTGTATATATCTTGAATTTTAAAATTAATTAGTGTTTTCTAATTTACAATTTGTGCATTATACAAACCTGAAGAACCTCGATTCTAAAATTGTGAATTCATAGAAACAAAAAGCTGAGTCGCCAAATGGTCGCCAAAATTACGATTATGTGGTCGTTAAATAGTCGCCAAAATTACGATTATGTGGTCGCCAAATAGTCGCCATATTCGCCGACTACATAACGACTCCACGAAAATGTAGTCGCCAATCGGTCGCCTTATGTAATGACTAAATAGCGACTAATAAATCAGTGTGGTCGTTAAAGAGTCGCCCAATTAGTGACGACAATGTGACTAATTTGCTGACTGATTAACGATTTCTCCTTGTCGTCGAACACTAGACGTGAACCAGTCGGAGTGTAGTCGTAATATATTATGACTATTCAATGACCATTCGCCGACTAAAAACATTAGTTGTAAGTGAGTCGTCACTAAGTCGCCATTTAGCGACTAAGTTCCGACTAATATATTTACCGACGCGTTGATTGGTGACCATGCTTTGTAGTCGCTATTCAGTCGTAACACGTCATTTCCGACCGAATAACGACCAATTCTGCAGTCGTTAACTACTTGTTTTCTTGTAGTGNTGACCATTCGCCGACTAAAAACATTAGTTGTAAGTGAGTCGTCACTAAGTCGCCATTTAGCGACTAAGTTCCGACTAATATATTTACCGACGCGTTGATTGGTGACCATGCTTTGTAGTCGCTATTCAGTCGTAACACGTCATTTCCGACCGAATAACGACCAATTCTGCAGTCGTTAACTACTTGTTTTCTTGTAGTGATTTATAAGATATCTTAAAATAAAGTTTTAAATAATTTCATATAGTATTTTATTATAATAAGTATTAAGAAAAAAATGAACCCAACAAATGTTATCATGTTTTCTCATGAGCATAGCCCCCTCTTGATTTTCTTTCATTCGTAGCTGAAGATGCTCTAAGATTTGTGATCATCTCATAACAAAAGAGAGGAATGATTATTAGTTACCATATTATTCCTGAAAGAGATGAACAAACAGTCTACACATAAAACTCAGAGAGAAAGTAGACAAAGATAAAAGTCTCAAAACAAACCAAATTTCAAACATGCAGGATAATATTTTAAAAATATTTAAAAGCAACACGTTGATTACATACAAGTATACGTATTACATTCTCAAGGGTGAGTCGGCAACGGAGGCCATTTGCCGAACTTGGGGTGGTGAATGAATTTAGGAGGAAGAGGGGGAAACTTGGGAAGTGGTGGAAGTGGTGGACATGGCTTCTTCGGAATCACCACCGGTGGCACATAGATTGGCACCGGCGGAGGACACGGCTTCTTTGGGATCACTGGTGGCACGTAGATTGGTGGATGCTCTATCTTTGGTGGTGGCTTGTAGACCGGAACCGGTGGTGGAAGCTCGATCTTGGGCGCCTTGGGCGGGCAAGGCTTCTTTGGGATCACCGGTGGCACGTAAATTGGTGGATGCTCTATCTTTGGTGGTGGCTTGTAGACCGGTACTGGTGGTGGAAGCTCGACCTTTGGTGGTGGGCACGGCTTCTTTGGTGGCTTGTGGATTGGTACCGGTGGTGGAAGGACTATTTTTGGCGGCGGCTTGTGGACTGGAACCGGTGGTGGATCCTCTTTCTTTGGCGGCTTGGGCGGACAAGGCTTTTTAGTTGGTGGTTTGTGAACTGGCACTGGCGGTGGAAGATCAATCTTTGGTGACTTAGGCGGACATGGCTTTTTGGGGATTGTTGGTGGCTTGTAAACCGGAACCGGAGGTGGGTGCTCTACCTTTGGAGGCGGCTTGTAAACCGGGACGGGAGGTGGGTGCTCTACCTTTGGAGGTGGCTTGTAAACCGGGACGGGAGGTGGGTGCTCTACCTTTGGAGGTGGCTTGTAAACCGGGACGGGAGGTGGGTGCTCTACCTTTGGAGGTGGCTTGTAAACCGGAACCGGAGGTGGGTGTTCTACCTTTGGAGGTGGCTTGTAAACCGGAACTGGAGGTGGGTGCTCAACCTTTGGAGGAGGCTTGTAAACCGGAACTGGAGGTGGGTGTTCTACCTTTGGAGGTGGCTTGTAAACCGGAACCGGAGGTGGGTGCTCAACCTTTGGCGGTGGGTCGTGAACCGGGACAGGTGGTGGAACCTCTGCCTTTGGTGGTGGCTCGTAAACTGGAACCGGAGGTGGAACCTCCTCAGGGGGAGGTGGGCAAGGTTTCTTGAATTTAGGAAAGGGTGGAAGCTCCAAAGGTGGAGGTAAAGGGAAAGGATGATCAAATCCCTTAAAAGGAGGGAACTTAGGCATAGGCCAAAAGAATTTTGAAACACAAAGTTCAGGTGAAAATTTGAGATTTTGTTTAAGACCCAAAACGTGTTTGTCTCCAGATTTGTATAGAAACACAATCTTGTTAGAGTCAAGGCCATCGTGAGCAGGGCAAGGTGTTCCCGCAGCGCTATGAAGCTGGGCATAACACTCCTGCTTTAAAGCTCCGTCGTCAGAGACAATGTCATGAGCAGGAACTTCTAGACCGAACTTTCCTTCTTCATCAATGTTTCCAGAAGCTTTTGTAACAAAATGGCCTTTATTCACCTTACACTCGACCGTCACTCGGAGTCCTTAGAAAAGTAACAACCACACACTGATCAAATAACCACATAAAAATGACACTGAAGATACTACAAAATGTTAATACTAAAATGGTATACCTGAGAATGCATGGGGGGTTTTGATCTTGCTCTCGGCGTTACCAACAACTTCGACGACGCGAGCGAGAGTTAGAGTTACTGAAAAGAGAACGGATACGAGGAGGAGGAGGCACTGAACCGAACCTCGAGGTTCGGGTAAGATCCTCATTGGGATTCTCACCCTCTGAGATTTCTGACACACACACACACTACGTACGTACTCTTTCCTTTCCGGAAAATATAGTTATACGAAGAAAGAAACTATATGTTATGATTGAGTATTAGTGGAGAAGATGATATGATTTATAGCGAGACTCCCCTCTCGTTTATATAATGGTCTTATCATAGCATTTTTCAGAAACGGATCTTGATTATTACTTCTTAAACTTTCTTATTTTATTTTTTACCAACAATAATTGGGATTCGGTGGTTTCGTTTATTTGGTAGTATCATTTATTTAAAATAATAATGTCATGGTCCATCTAATCGTTGTAATTTCCGTCTACAGCAATAATTTATCATACTTTTTCATGCAGAGTGGTTGAAACAATATGACTTATCTGTTTATTTATTTATCTTTGTACGAAAATGCATTCAGATTTACCTTTTTGTTTCCATAATCAACGTTATTGCACGAGACACATTGTAGAACTGCGATCACATGAACCTTTTGATCTATAAAATGGTTTTTATATTTATTTTCCTTTGTGATATCCTGATATGTACAGTACAGCCAATAACAAAAAGCAATGCAGAGACTACAAGATGACCATGCATATATGGTAACTTTTTCTTTGCTTTTTCTTCCACACACACGATATAATTTATGAAAAAACATGAAATGAATTAATGAGTGCGTATATACGTGCAACCAACCCTGAATTGAAGCGGACCACATTATGGTTAGAAGATAAACTTTAATATTTATGGAAAAAATAGTCACACTTCTTGTGCTACTTGTCCCGGCTTCTTCCTTTGTAACTAAACCAGTGTGTCGTATTGCCATTTAGTATAAATCAAAATAAGATACACAATCGAATTTGGTTAGAGAAGAGGCTTGATCTATTGCCATTTAGTTAGATGAGAAAGAGAAGTTATTTTGCCATCAATCTATCGTAGTTGAAGTCGGCAAGGTCCATCATCCTTAAATAAAACTTAGCCAGCTCAAAGCCCTACTATGTCTTTTTCTTGTTGGAAAATTAAAGTCTATGTAAACATTTGCATATGAATCTAGCTAGTTTCCCTCAGATTGAAAAGCAGAGTCGGAAACCCACTTAAGAAGGACCAACGCTTTGAAAAACGATGTTTCTTGGCTTTTTGTTTGTTGGCTTCGGTATGGTTTTGGTTAGTTGACCATAGTCGGTTTTGAACCGAAGGCACTCAAACAAAAGATCCTTCTTTACACTACAAGAATAATGCTCACATTCCGAGGGACAGATTAATAAGAAGTTTGTCGGTAACGAGCGTTTCCCATAATTTTTCGACAATTAAATTTTAGTCGGCGTTTGGGTCTCGGAAATTTCGATTTGTCGGAAGTCACTCGGTAAATACCGTCAACAAATATCGTCGGAATTACTTGTCGGAAAGCCATCGGATGATA